GCAGTATGGAAATTGAAACAGTCATCAAAAACTACCAAAAAGTAAAAGTCCAAGACCAGATGTCTTCACTAGTGAATTCTACCAAACAAACTTTAAAATCTAAATAGACCAATCAGCAGTGTAGAAATTGAAACAATCATCAAAAACCTACCAAAAAGAAAAAGTCCAAGACCAGATGTCTTCACTAGTGTTTTCTACCAAACATTCAAAGATTTAATACCTATTCTCCTCTAACTCTTCTAAAAAATTGAAGAGGAGGCAATACTTCCCAATTCATTTTATGAAGCCAATATTACTTTGATACTGAAAGCTGGTAAAGATAACACAAAAAAAGAAAACTACAGACCATTATGTCTCATGAACACAGAAGCAAAAATCCTAAATAAGATGCTAGTGAACTGAATACAGCAACATATTAAAAAGAATATACACCACAATCAAGTGGGCTTCATCCCAGGGGCACAGGTATGGTTCAACATATGCAAATCAATTAATGTGACACATCACATAAATTAAAAAATAAGAATCGTACCATCATATCAATAGATGAAGAAAAGCCTTCGACATAATACAGCATCCATTTAAGATCAAAACATTTAACAAAATCAGTATAGAAGGAAGGTACCTTAATGTCATAAAGGCCATCTATGACAAACCCTCAGCAATATTATACTTAATGGTGAAAAACAAACGACCTTACCTCTAAGATCAGGAACAAGGCAAGGCTGTCCAATATCGCCACTTATTCACCATAACATTGGAGGTCCTAATGAGTGCAATCAGGCAAGAGAAAGGTATAAAAAGCATCCAAATAGGAAATGAAGAAGTCAAACTGTCACTATTTGAGTATGACATGATTCTTTATATATAAAACTCTAAAGACTCCACAAGAACACTGCTAGAAACAATAAGCAAATACAATAAAGTCTCTGGATACAAAATCAATGTTCAAACATCCATAGCATTCCTATACTCTAATAATGAAGTGTCAGAAAAAGAAGTAGAAAAAATAATTCCTTTTGCAATTGCAACAAAAAGAAAAAATATCTAAGGAATAAATTTAAAACTACAAGAGCCTATTAAAAGAAGTCGAAGAAGATACAAAGAAATGGAAAGATATTCTGTGTTCTTGGATTGGAAGAATCAACACAGTTAAAATGACCTTACCTGAAGCATTATACAAATTTAATGCAATCTCCATCAAAATCTCATCGGCATTTTTTAAAGACAGAACAAAAAATCATCAGATTTGTATGGAAGTACAAAAGACCCCAAATTGCCAAAGCCATCCTGAGAACCAAAAACGAGGCTAGAGGCATCACTCTGCCCGACTTCAAATTATCCTAAAAAGTGGCAATAATCAAAATGACATGGTAATGGCAGAGCCACCTGCAAAAGAATGAAACTAGACTGTTGTCTATCACCACACACCAAAATTAACTGAAAATGGATTAAGGACCTAAATATAAGACCTGAAACAATAAAATGCATAGAAGAAAACATAGGAACGAAACTCATAGACCTTGAACTTAAAGAGGATTTTATGAATTTGACCTCAAAAGCAAGGGAAGTAAAAGCTAAAAAGAATGAATGGGAATACATCAAACTAAAAAGCTTCTACTCAGCAAAAGAAATCGTCAACAAGGTAAAGAGAGGACCATCCAAATGGGAAAACATATTTGCAAGGAACACCTCTGATAAGGGCCTAATATCCAAAATATACAATGAACTCATACAACTCAATAACAGCAAAGAAACAAACGATCCAATCAAAGAATGGGCAGAGGACCTGAATAGACATTTCTCCCTAGAGGACATATAAATAACCAACAAATACATGAAAAGATGCTCAACATTGCTAGCTATTAGGAAAATGCAAATCAAAAGCACAATGAGATCCCATCTGACACTTGTTAGAATAGCTATAAACAAATGCTGGAGAGGATGTAGAGAAAAAGGAGCCCTCATACACTGCTGGTGGGACTGCAAATTGGTACAGCCGCTATGGAAAACAGTATGGAGGTTCCTCAAAAAACTAAGAATTGATCTACTATATGATCCAGCAATCCCTCTACTGGGTATTTATCCCAAAGACTTGAAAACTCATATCCGAAAAGATGTTTGCCCACCGATGTTCATAGCAGCATTATTCGCAGTGGCCAGCACATGGAAGCAACTGAAATGTCCTACTGTAGATGATTGACTAAAGAAGCTGTGGTACATATATATTCAATGGAACCTTACTCAGCCATATGAAGAGATTAAATACTGCCATTTGCAACGACATGGATGGATCTCGAGATAATCACGCTAAGCGAAATAAGCCAAACAGAAAAAGGTGAAAATCACTTGATATCACATATGTGCAATATAAACCTAAAAGCAAATGAATAGGACAAGCAGAGACTCAGGGACAGGAACTATAGTGGGGGAGGAGGGGGAGTTAGACGGGATAAAGAGGGTCAAATATAAGGGGGTGGGGGGAGGGTGAAGTGGTAAAGGGGATCGAATATATGGTAGCTGAAGGAAATTAGACTTTGGGTGGTAAACAGAATATACAGATGTCAAGTTATAATATACACCTGAAAATTAAATAATCGTATTAACCAATGTTACCACAATAAACTTAATTTTAAAATTAACTTTGATTCTCCCCCAACATAATTAACAGTCCCTTATCGCTCGGTATCCAAGGGGAATTGGTTCCAGAACACCCATGAATACCCAAATTTCAGGATGCTCAAGTTCCTTTTATAAAATAGCAGAGAACATGCATACAGTCAGCCATCTGCAACTGCAGATTGCCAAACAGTTTGAAAATGCCGATTTACATCTCTGACTGGTCGAATCCTGGATGCTAAACCCGGAAATACAGGGAGCCAATGCTATATTTTTTGAAAAAAAATCTGAGTATAAACCCACCTAATTCAAATGTATTGTTCAAGGGTCAGCTGTAATTATAACACTGAGGTTGCTCAGAGAACGTAGGACTTCGGTGACACGTGCACACGGAGTAGCATTTGGATTGGGAAAGAGGGGAGGATGATTGAAATACAACCAATTAACTGTCCTACTCCCCACTAATGGAAGTTAATTGATAGAACTGATCGGTGGCTCCTGGAACTCTACATATTACATAATAGAAAAATTCACATACTAGCAATTTGGAACATGTTTATAGTAACAGTTAAAGATACTATTATTTTCCATATTAATTTCACAACTGTCAACTGAAGGTCATTGTTGTTAATTCAACACCAACAGGAATCCCCAATTTAGGGTGTGGTGAGGGGAGGGAGACTGACTATTCAGTGCAAATGGCTTGTGAAACAGCACAGTTGTGGAACAGCTGTGACGTAGGTTGGCTGTGGAGCAAAACCACTTTGAGACAGCTCAATAATGACACAGCTCAGTTATGATACATCACAGCTGTAGAACAGCACAGCTCTGAGATGGACCTGGTGTCAGGCCCCAGTGTTACAGCTCTGATATTTGGTGCTCTGGTGTAATGGTGAGACAGCTTCACTCTGGTGTTGCAGCTCAGCCAATAATGTAGCTCCATCTGTGGTAACCCAGCCCTTGATGGAAACTGAATGTACCCTCCACCCAAAGGTAAAGCTGGCTTATAAAGGAAAGAGTTCCTGTACCTACTCCTGATTAGCTGTTCCAAATTCTCAGTTTGATTGGTCCAATTAAGTGGGGCAGTCTCAGTCTTATTGGTTGAATACGCTTCCAGGAACTCATTTATATTGGTTGGCTCAGCCACTATAAAGCAACACAATGTTTGCAGGCAGTTCAGAGCCGGGGGCAGGCAGCTTAGTGCAGGCTACTTCCTGAAGCCTGGCTTAGGTGAGAGGCCCGTTTAGCAATGGCAGCGAGGCTCTTTATAAATTTGAGCCCAATTAGCCACCAAGGAGCCCTTCTTAACAGGTACATTCATTTTCAGCATCAACTCAACCAAATACTTAAAAGCCTGATTTAAATGTACATTTGTATGTGAAATGGGAGTCTCATTACTATTTTCAATAAAGTAGCATCAATTCAACATTTTTGAGAGCCCACAGAATTCTCAGCACTCAAATCCAGGGAAAGTGATTAAAAAAAATTATAAAAGACCCCCCAAAATTTCAGCATTCTGGTTATCATATGCCTTAGAGTTTTGTTTTTTTTTTTAAGTCATGTTCTCTAGCTCCCTTCTCTATCTTACCGTACTCTGTAAGGATTGTATATATCCTTTAAGTGTCTCCAGTGATTGTAAACATCTTAAGGTCTGAGCATTTTGACTTTAAGTGTTTATATTTCTTGCGCCCTCCCAGATCCTACCATGTATTGGATATGCATTGAGCCACTCCTGTAGAAAAGGGATGGCTAGTCTGGAGCTTAAATCTGCACTGACAATATCCACTAAATAAGAAGTTGTGGATTCTCGGTGACAAATGAATGTTTCTCTTTCCAGCTTAAGTTTAAAATGGGAGAGCAGTCGACCCTCAAACTACACACTGGTGTAGCCTCAAGTGGAAATACAGCAAAACCTCTACTGCCCTCTCCCAGTCCAGTCCTTCTTTATTTTTAGAAATGGATATACCCTGGCTTTAGGAAACAAAGAGGTATCTGCGGTTGGGTACGACAGGTTTTCGGGC